CTCGTGGTGCTGGTGAAGGACCACGGGCAGCCGGCGCTGTCGGCCACGGCCACGCTGCACGTGGTGCTGGCCGAGAGCTTGCAGGAGGCGCTGCCGGCGCTGAGCGAGCGCGCGGCGGGCGCCGAGGCGCCGTCGGACTTGCAGTTCTACCTGGTGCTGGCGCTCGCGCTGCTCTGCGCCTTGCTGGTGCTGAGCGTGGCGCTGGCCGTGGCGGCGCGGCTGCGGCGCGCCGGGCCGCCCGCCGTGCTGCGCTGCCTGCGCGCCGAGCGCTTCTCCGTGGGCGGCGCCGCCTTCCCGGCCGACTTCTGCGAGGGCACCTTGCCCTACTCGTACAACCTGTGCGTGGCGCCGGCACGCGCCGTGGCCGAGTGCGCTTTGGTGCCGGCGCCGCTGCCCAGCCGCGCCGTCGACGATCTTCTCAGCGGGGACGCGCCCGCCACGCTCACGCCCGGCAGCAGCTGTGCCCCAGCAGAGCCCTCCTCAGATCTCGACGCCATGCAGGTCTGTATGATCACAATCCTCTTTTCTATCTTAACCGTTGTTCGTTTTTTTTTTTTTTATATATATTTTTATTAAGCCTTTGCAACCACTGATGTTTATTCACGATTATATGTGAATATTAAATACGGACGAGGTGTTCTTCCGTATTCCGCAGAGGTGCCAGTGCTTTTTATTTAGGAGGCTGTAGTGCTTTCGAAGGGTCATTTGGAGAATTCTTTTGGAAATATGCCGTGGAAAATATACCAGAAAGCTGATCTCGGATTCTTGTCGTTTTGAAAATTATTCTAGAAATTAGTAACATATACGCCTGTGTTCACAAAGATTGGCTTGAGTATTTGAGCATCCAGTCATTACCATGAGATATGGCGTAACTCGGACTTGTCACGGAACTGCTTTTCCCTTCCTCAAGGTCCAGTGCACTTTAGGTCTCTAAGCATCTCAGTCTTAATGTCACAGCATTTCTTCTTAACTTACCATTTGTCTGTTGCAATGGAAACTATTTATTCCCTATGACAAGAAGAGGCAATATTTTCTCTCTTGATCTGAAATCAGGAGGTACAAAGGTACCTTCCCCGTTATCAGAAATGGGATGTCTAGGTTCAACTGAAAGGTTCTGGACATGATATTTGTTCGATATATTCTAGCAAATCTTAGTAATTCCAAGTGTTGTTCCTCCTTGTACATAATGAGATGTGATGATTCTGCCTCTGGGGACTGTGAAACTGTAATGGACCTTCTGTGCTGATGATCTCCTTCCTCTCCCCCAATAGGAAGTTCCTGCATGTGATTGATTGTGTAGAACACGAAATATATTCTATATTGTTTTAGTAATGTGTCTCCAAAAGAAACTTGAGTGCGTGTCACTGAATGTGTCGACAAAGCTGTGTCTGTTATCGTGATCAGTGTCTTCCTTATACAGAAACAAACCGCTGTCGCGATGCACTTTTGGTAAGGAAAGCCTGGAATTGGAGTGAGTGGGGAGACATTATTTCTATGTGGACATCATTTCTCTGCGTCGTCCTTGTGTCCTTTACGGTGCAATTGAAAGGGCTCGTGATTCGTTCCAGGAAGTGAAAAATACAGCGTCTCCTGGGCCATCAGGAAAAGCGCGAATTGGCTTCTTTCCGCCTCGTATTATATATTTTTGCAGCTTCCTGTAAAAGATGAAAATCCGTGTCTGGATAAAGATGGAAGTGTGAAAGGAATGTTATAGCATGTCGTAAAGGGAAAATGTGACAGTGTAGACGGAGACTAGCACTCACTCCGAAAACCGAGAGTCTGACAAGAATGTGAAAAAAAGGGCATAACAATATGATGATTGTTATTATTCCCCAGTTATACGCGTATCTCATTCTCCTGCTCAAATGGAGTGTTTATTTACTTACTTTCTCCTTCTCGGACGCTTTTATTGATGCTGTGCTTACTTGTATTCGATAATGTGCCCTGCTCTTTTTGGTGGCTTTACCAAGGAGACTAAGTCATTTCCCTTCTCTCTGGGGACAGCAGCTGGTCAGAGCCGCTGGGTAGCAAATTGTGACCTTCAGTAGAATCGCAGAAGGCGCTGTAGGGGCCTATAAAGTAAAGGAAGAAGCTAATTTCTTAACAACATCTCCTAGATATTGAAAGTTAAACGGGAGTGCCGCCCGCGTGGCCAACCCCTGCCAGAAGCACCTCTTGCCAGTGCCAGCAACAAGCACTCAACTTATTCCTCGTTCTCTAAACTCTTTGGGATGACAGCAGAAAAATAATAGTGATAATAATAATCTTAACAATAATCATCATTTTATTTAATAATTACGATATAGTATTTATAATTATTAGTATTTCAATAATGTAATGTAATATAATGTAATAGAGATTTAGAAATATAGTAGAAAATATATTTCTAGAAATAAAAGTCTAGGAAACAGGTTATGCTTCCTAGACCACTGTGATAAACGACGCACATATCTGTCCTGCAGCGCTGCAACAGCCTTTAGGCTAACAGCGAATACTACTGCCTTTAGGTAAACATTCAGAAAGAAGTACAATGTCAGAGATAGCGACTCTTTGATAAATCCTGTACAAACAAAGCGTGTCCAGACGCCAATCCGAGAAGCAGGAACGACAGGCAGACCTCTAGTCAGGCGGAAATAGCGACACACCGATGGAATGAAACCCGAGACTTCGGTTGTATAGTCTGCACTTAGTCAAAAGCGTATGACATGAGAGAAAAATCTACCACAACAACAACAACAAAGATTTCTATTGGATGCTTTTCACAAGGGGAAGAGTGTCCCTTTAGAATACAGTATTAATAATAATAATTTAAAAAGGCATTTTAAAAAAGAGAGAGAAATGCGTATTGGTTGTGTTTCCCGAGCCACTCTGATACACGATTCCAAAATCTCACCTGCAATTACCGGGCGAGACTGCGGGCGCCGCTGTTGACCAGGCGGGAGCGGAGCGCGGCGAGACGGAGCCGCCCCGCCCGCCGTGTCACGGCTCGCGGAGAGATCCGTGCTGAGCCCAAGGCAGCCGGCAGCCTCCCGGCAGGAGTCGGCAACGCTGGGTTCTCGGCCGGGCGGGACCCGAGCGGCTCGGTGAAGGCGGAGGAGCGGATCGGCGACAGCGGCGCGTCCTGCTCGGGCGGGCAATGAGAGGGTCGCCAGGACAAGCGCTGCTGTGCTGCGCGTTGGTGGCGATGTGGGATCTTGTGTGGGGGCAGCTGCGCTACTCGGTGCCCGAGGAGATACCGAAGGGCTCCTTCGTGGGTGACGTGGCCAAGGACCTGGGGCTGGAGCTCTCGGCGCTCCGCGACCGCGGCGCCCATGTCGTTTCCGAAGGTAGGAGACAGTATTTTTCTTTTAATGAGAAGACCGGTCATTTAGTGACGGCGGAACGCATAGACAGGGAGCAGGTCTGTCGGGTTGTAGAGAAATGCATGTTGCGCTGTGAGGTGTTACTCGAAGACGAAATGAAGATTTATGCCATCGAAGTGGAAGTGAGAGATATTAACGACAACGCGCCCACTTTCGAGGAAGCACAGTTAGAGGAAATAATAAGCGAGACAACAGCAGTGGGGTCGCGATTTCCTCTGGCTGAGGCTCATGATGCAGACAGTGGAAATAATTCCCTACAGCGCTATGAGCTGAGTGGCGACGAACACTTCTCCCTTGCGATCCGCACGACACCCGATGGCGAGAAACACCCTGAGCTGCTTCTGGCGAAGGCGCTGGACAGAGAGGAAACCGCTTATCACGAACTGGTGTTGACGGCGGTGGACGGCGGCGATCCACCACGGACCGGCACAGCGCGGATCCGGGTGGTCGTTCTAGACGCGAATGACAACGCACCAGTGTTCAGCCAGGCGGTGTACACGGTGCGTGTGAGGGAAGACGTTCCCGTGGGCTCCGTGCTGCTCACCCTCAGTGCCACCGATGCCGATGACGGAATGAACGGACAGATTAAATACTCACTTAAGAAAAACATGGACAATGTATCTCAAATATTCCATCTGGACACGACAACGGGAGAGATCACGCTGGTAAAGAGTCTGGACTTCGAGGAAGGCACCTCTCACCATCTTCAAGTGCAAGCGAAGGACGTTGGAGGCCTTTCGGACACGGCGAAAGTCTCGATAACAGTGATTGACGTGAACGACAACGAACCCGAGATCTCGGTGCGGTCGCTGTTGAGCGCGGTGCCGGAGGATTCTCCGTCGGGAACGATGGTGGCCCTGCTGCACGTGCAGGACCGCGACTCGGGCGCAAACGGGGAGGTGAGGTGCTCCCTGGACAAGGG